GTTGTTCCATAGCAATTAATAATCTATTTCCAAAACGAATGTCTGACTTTCACACAAATCACATATCATTACCATCTATTACTTGCGCTACACAGTTTATAAAATCTCTTTGTAAATGTCAACCCATGTGCTTCATCCTAGTTTCGATTGAAACATTGCAGCAGTATATAAGCCTATTTTTAACTTGGTAACAGCTAGAACATTCTGTCTTTAACATCAAAATAAAAGTGTCTTCCACGTAAAGCATGTAATAAGCTTACTTTACAATACGCCCTACGTTAGCGAATTTCAAAATCTTACAATTAACTACGGAATTACATCATTTGAATGGTTATTACTGTAATCAACCTGAGGAGAGCAATTTTTCGACCAATTTTCGGGACTTTGGGAAAAAATTACAGACTTAGCAGGTGCTACCATTTGTGACTCCCACAATCGCGCCGTAATATTTCAAAATTTCCAATAAATAGCGGTGAAATTCCAAAGGCAACTAATATATAGTAAAGAATCCATGTTTTGAAAGCTTATCAATATGTGCAGCACAGGTTTAGGTTCTATCATAAATTCGTTTAACAAATGAGATGTATTGCATTACAACCACCAAATTGCATCAACTTTATTTATAGGCGTTAGTTAAGAAACAGCGGCTAGCCATGCGTAAATAAAATATTTAAAATGCTGTGACTGTGAAGAGCCCTTGTCTCTGCAATTTTACCAAGGATGTTTTATAAAGCTTTGATGAATTTCAATGCTCCTAGAATGGATTAGAGAAGTCTCTAGGTCGGGGAAATTAGTTGGCAACTCACAACTCATCAAAAGCACCATCGTGGTTTTTGGAAAAAAGATTTATTGCTATTAACGGCACAGAAACTGATAATCACAGCCAGAAGGCGGACATTCTTCACAAACAGCTCCAACATGGTAGATGTGCACGTAGTCTAACTGCCTCTAGAACAAAAAAGTATCTTTAAGAAGAAATGAATACGAAAAACAAGCTTCAGAAATAACATTAGTTTACCCTGGGCTGTACATGCAAGATGTCAAATAGTAGATGCCACAGTGTTATATAGCACAGCCAAGACGTCGATTATTCCACCAAGCCATCTATATAACTGAACTAGGCTCCGGGAATTAGTTTATGAAATGATACCCGTACATGTGTGAGTCCGTGAGTAACGAATTGGTGGAAAAAAAACTTCCTAGTCATTTTTGAGGCATTCTTTGTCTAGCA